AGCTTCAGACTGGGAGGCCACTGTTGGAGCCCTAATGTTCTCCCTGGGATCCCTGCTGCGACGCTGCCACTCAAGAATGCCCTGGGGTACCACTCGCCATGTGAGGGCGTGGCAGTGACCACTCAAACCCAGGGCTGCCTGCTCCACTTGCCATAGTGTCTCAGTAGGCTGAGCCAGCTGGGCCAGGTTCTGCACAGCCCCAGCACCAAGCAGAGGATGTCCTGCTGGGACCAGACCCCCAACTTTCTCCAGAGCGAGCTGGAGAGGCTCTGGCCCGGCAGCGTGGAGGAGCCTTTCAGGTCCAAGCCCCAGTGGCACAAGTGCAATGGAAGGCGCAAGGAGCCTGATACACTGCCTGGGCCCTGCTGCTGCAGGGGGGCTGGGCAGATCTACCATATGGCTGGGAGTCTTGCTGCTGTGGTGGAAAGCTCCTGCCTGACTACTGTTCTTGGCCTGGCACCTCCCTCCCCCCATGTAGTAGCAGGATCCAGGCACAGGAGAGGTCCACAGCGCCTGCTCCATCCATGGGGGCAAGGAGAAGCTGCAGCTCCACAGCTGGTCCACTAGTAGGGGGAAAAGAGTGCATCTCTGTGCCTGCTCCCAAGAGCAGGGCCAGAGGGGGCAAGGGCAGCTGTGCCCCTCTGCAGGCCACACACATGCTGCCCTCCCAGGGTGCGTGCAGCAGTGAGAGCCCTAGCCCCTGCCCCGCCTAGATGAGCTATGGCTCCATCCCACACCGACTCACCCCAGCTGAGCAGCGCCTGCCCCAGCCCCACTCTCTTCCTCACCATGGGGGCCTTGCTCTGCCCTATACCCTTTCCCTCTCCTCTCCCCTTCCACCACACCAGATTTACCTGCTGCATGCAGCTGTATTGGAAATCAGATTGGTATCGGACAATATGCCTCCTTAAAATCGGCTATTGGTTTTGGCCCCAAAAATGCCTGTAGGTGCACCCCTAATTGACAACATTTTAAAGAAGCAGGAGGTTGGCTGCTGTGGCTCCCCTGCATTACCTACCAGGCTAGGGTGTTAGGTCTATCTTGTGTCAGGGCTGAGAGTAGTCTTATGCGGAGTTTAGATTATGGTTATATGGGATAGTTTGGATAGGGATGATCCTGCCTCGGGCAGGGGGTTGGGCTAGGTGACCTCTGCAGGTCTCTTCTAGCCCTACTTCTTTATGACACCTGAAGACTGTGACAGGTAAAACCCCAAGACCCAAGTAGGATGCCTTAAGGCAATTAAAGGAGAGTCAAATGCATAGCTAATGACAAACCTACATCACTGGGATAATCAAAGGGAATGGGATTGGGGGAGCAGGGGCATGACTTGCCCAGGAAGAAAAATTTACCCATCTTTTCCATGGATCTATATTTTCATCCACAGAGCTTGATAGATCTGCCAATGGCAGATGAGGAGAAAACTCAGAGGCAGTTACCATGCAAGAAGCAGGTACGCACAAAGGACCACAACAACCAGCCTGAGACTTCCATTAGAGAACCTGACCAAGAATAATATCCTGCAATGCCTTTGTTTTCACCTGGATGAGCTAATTTCCGCAACCTGCTGAATAACAAATTAATGCTTTACTCAAAACTCTTTGCAGCCTATTGCCTTGGACTGGAACAGTGCATCCACGTGCTTTCCATCACTACACTGAAAGTGCTTCTTACCTTCCCTGGCAATTCCTTCCTTCTCAGCTCCATCCTTCACCATTTTCTGCTCTGTATCAGTCATCCCATCTTCTTCATTTCCACAGTTCAGCTTCTCAATTACATGGGCAACAAATTCCCTCAATGATGTGCGGGTGGATCTCCGAGCTGACAGGGAGCCCAAATGTCTGCCTTGACTTGTGGTGACAGCAGGGGTAGAAAGGGTCTGTCTATGAAAAGCTGGACATTCAGAAAGCTATGGTCACATGGGAGTTCTGCCAGTATCCCTTTCCTATTGATTTTTGCACTTCAGGCATAAAGGGGGAAGGGGATCTGAACAAAAAACAAAAATCTGTCTTTTACTTTGCTCAGAACAGTTGTTTGCCCTGCTTGATTTCAACAGGACTACAGTACAGCATTGACTCCTGTGTCCTTGGTATATGCTCCCAAGTACCGTCTACTTACACCTGTCACTTGACCCAATCCCTACTTTGATTCCACACCAACTGTTTGGCTGAAATTTTCTTACTCGGAACATACAGCAATCTCTCTGTCCATTCACATTCCCCACTCAACCTATTTCTTCCACCAAGCCCACTAGCAATAACCCTTCAAGAGCTGGAATACTATTGGCCTGTGCTGCACTACACTGTGCCTTAGTTAAACTATAAGATTTAGAGAGTAAAGAATTCCTCTGGACACAGCTGGTAGGACCTTAAGTACCAATCTGGCTAAGTCATGTGTGGACTGGCTGACAAGTCATGATCTCAAAACTGAGAAATGCCAGAAGGGAGGGCACATTGATCAAGATCTCCAGTATTTTGCGTAATTTTTACTCCTCTTCAGCACTTTATCACTGTGTCACTTTCTGGGGGCAGCAGGAACACTACACAGACCACATTTCAGCCATCTGCATTTGTTTCTACCCTTGTCTCCAGTACAAGTTACTACTCTCATCCTCTCATGAAACATAGGTATTAAGCTATTTTGGTTCCAAATTTGACTGGTTTATCACACCAAGAAGGCGCCTATTTGTAAACATTTTAAAAACAGTTTTGGAACTGAAACTTATCATACAATGTTTTGCTGGGGCAAAAACTCAAGAAACCCAAATCTAAGCAAGGGGTTAAAAGACTGTTCTGTACTCAGAACCACTTCAAACTAAAGCCTTGCAATGAAGATGGATGAAAAAAAAGGTTTCAGCAACACAAGCTAGTAACAAAAGCATTAGCTACAAATCCAGGACTAGACAACAATCGCCAGCTTCTCTCCCTCAGCTGCAGCCTGGATGAATTCCTGTAAGTAAACACTTGGAAATTAGCCAGGAGTTAGGATTTATGTCTAGGCAGATGCATTTTAAAAAAAGGCTATTACATCCAAGACTGTGCAAGACTCTGACTGATTATGTTTGCACAAAGTATATTCTGACTTCCTTGTTCTACCCCCCCCCACTACCCTGATCAATAAAAGGTATCTGGTTACAGTGTGCCTGGCTTTTTCACTGTAGGGGTGACAGGCAAGCCTTTTGCTCCTAGCCCAGCCTCAGAGCTTGTCTGCTTATGTTCCCTCAGTCATATCTGAGGTTATCTGGGGATGCTTTGGGCTGAAAGGGGCACCCAGAAATATTATCAGGGGGCAAAGCACCCCCAAGGCTTGCAGTCTGTGCGCCCCGGAGCCCTAACAGAGACCAGTGCCAGGGGGGTGCCAGTGTTACTGCAGGATTGTGGGTGTTCTCCAGGAAGCAGGACAGCTGGCAGTAGGCATCCTGTGGGAGACTCCCAAAGCAAGGTTTTTGGGTCTGACACAATGAGGCAGGTCGTTCTGCACAGTAGCGCTCCCTACTGTGCCACCACAGTTTATGTCCACAATTCTTTACGGTATTTGGGGGAAGACTTCAAATCCCTTTCTTCTCCATGGGGGGGAGGACGGGGACACCACACGGACCTCTCACTTCTGTGCTCTCTTAGAGACTGGCAAGAAGTAAGGACATATATGTCCTACTTGATTACTACTCCTCAAATATCAGGCAAAAGGCAGGGTACAGAGAGTAACTATAAATGAAAGGGCAGGTAAGCAGGTCTTCCCCTCACTAAGACAGGGTTACCCCTCATCAGGCAGAAAAACCCACTAATCTGTGTTGGTCCCCACTGAACAGAGACTTTTTTTTTTTTTAGGACAAGGAACTGGTGGCAGAACTTCATTGGTAAGAGAATATTTAGGGTAGAGAGGAGAAAGGCAAGCACTGACAATTTAAACAGCAGTAGCTGCTGTCCTAAACTCACGTTTAGGGGACAAAGTCTGACAGCCCATATGACTGGTCAAGGGAAAACATGTTTCTCTACAGGACAAAAAGGACACTGGATCTAGATGTGACTAAAGAATCCAGGAAACAAGTTTACAACAGCAATCCCTTAAGGAGAAGCAGCAGCTTATGCAGCAGGTCCCAATTCAACCTCCTCCCACCCTAGCTCCCATGGTACTTACTGCCAGACACCAGTCCAGAAACCTGTTCTGCGTAACTGCTCTGCTGAGTACAATCTTGTTGGTCCCTGGGTGGGCTTCCAGCTTTCCCCACAGATGCAGGGCCTGACCTATCAGTATGATGCAGGGCAGAGTCCTCATGATCTCCCTGTACCATTTCTTCCTCTGGATTCACATTCAATGTCAAGGGCTCTTTCTGGACTAAAGTATTCAGGAAACAAGTTTACAACAGCTATTCCTTTAGTGGGAAGCAGCTTATGCAGCAGGTCCCAGTTCAATCTCCTCCCACCCTAGCTCCCATGATACTTACTGCCAGATACCAGTCCAGAAACCTGTTCGGCATAACTGCTCTGTTGAGCATAATCTTGATGGTCCCTGGGTGGGCTTCCAGCTTTCCCCACAGATGCAGGGCCTGACCTATCAGCATGATCCAGGGCAGAGTCTTCATGGTCTTCCGGTACCATTTCTTCCTCTGGATCCACATTAGATGCTAAGTTCTCTTTCTGGGACTCCGGCTCAGCTATGTTGAAAGCTCTACTCCCTCGTTCTAGAGCATTCCTTGCCAAGAGCTGTGGTTCAAGAGCAGAGAGTCTTCCTTGGCTTTTCTCACTGAGCTGAGGCTGAACGAAGAGCTCTGTGTTATTCAAGGCGATTTTGCTATCATTCATCATCACAGTTGTCCCAATCATGGATACTGCTTGTGAATCCACAAGATAGTTTTCTGCTGTTTAAAAAGTTTTAAAACAAGTTTAACTTGGGGAATTATTCAGGGACCTAAAATAGTATGCAAATTAGCAGGGAACACACACACACACACACAGACTCTGACCTTCTCCACTTTCCACCCCCCCACAAAAAAAAAGAGAAAAAGAAAAACTCCACTGATTCAAGAGCCTTTTCTACCAGTTTAAATCCAGACAAAGAGATAGGTGCCTTCTGCATGTCAGCTGCAGAGCAGTGCAGCCAACGACTAAATCCCAAGGTTCCCATACTATTGTTGGAAGACGTTACTCTGCCAGCAGCTAGTGAAGGGTTCTTATGGAGCTCACCTTCAGGTCTGCACTCAAATGAACAGCACTTTCATGCACTTCCTCTCATCTAGCTGGATTGCCAACAGGAGACTTCCAAACAAACTTACAAGTGAAACCTTCCAGATAAGAAACTAAATGGCCTATAAACCAAGGTGGGGAGAAAGGTAAAATTCCCAGAAAGCTGTCTGCAGTGCTCTTGTGGTAGTTCCAGAGTCTCAGTACAGTAGCGGCCTATAATGGAAACTGTCAAGAATCAGACATCTCTTTAAGCAGAAATACTCCAGGTGAGGAATTGAGGGCTCAGTGGAATTGTGTTAGGAATTACAAGAAATGTTAATAGCACCTCAACCAACCACCTTCTGGAGAAAGGTACAAATGCAGTTCAGCTGCAATCAAAGTTGAAATCAGTCAGTCTGTACTCTGGCATTCGTCAGGACTGCGTTCTTCATCAATTGTCCCAAAGCCTGGATAATTGCCTGCTTTGGAACAGAACAGGCTGTCCACCTGCTTGGTAGTGCCAGTCACCAGATGCAAGGTCACACCAGTTTACCAAGAATATTTATGAAGCTCTAAAATGCTGTGGGTCCTAGCCACTTCCTTTCCTACCTGAGCTTTCAGCACTAAGGTGACTGGTGCTTTAACAGACATATCATGAAAGCACCTGGGGTACCTACCCAGTTCTCTCTACATTTGGCCATTCCTGAGTGTGTTGCAGGTTGGACATAAAGACAGGCCCTCAAACTATGAGATTTGTTTCCTCCATTTGTCTGACACAGCAAGAACATGAAGGTCAGACTTCGAGTGTTACATTCCCTGACCAGCAACTCTTTTAAGCTACAGTTCTATTAAACTTAGAATAAAAAGATACAGACCTGATGCTGCTAAAACTTTTCAAAGTTCACCATATTTTCCTCAACTGCCCTCTATTCACCATCTATGACGCAATTAAGCTCATCAGCCACAAGGAAGAAGACACAGCAAGATCTCTCTGGCTTTAAGTTTCTAGCCATTACTTAAAAGAAATGCACATTAAAATACATAATGGGAGCCTTCAGAATAGATGGTCTTGAATGGCGACAGGAGTTAATTAGCCTATTTTAGGGATGCCCTTTTTTATTTGGTCTTTTAGTAAATAATGTTCATGCATCACGCAATAGCTAAAATAAGTGCATTTATTTATATGAAACACTGCTTTGCACTCATTTTCTGCTTCTTCATGGTAGGTGAAAATGGAAGCTGGAGAACTAATAAAAAAGACCATAAGAGCCAAAAGGTCAGTAGTGCTCCCTGTACAGGCTGAGGAGCAGAGCAGAAGAAATATTTTAGGGCTTGCCTATACCTAAAAGGATTTGCCAGCATTATTATACTGGATGATCAGTGCAGCAGAGGCAGTTTATGCCAGCTAAAGAACACTCTGTGCTGGTATAACTGAATTCACATAAAAGCTTTGGCAGGTAGAACTAACTACCAGTTAGGGGTACTATTGTTTTTTCACTCTGGGCCCAGCTTTGTTGGCAAAATTTAAATGTAACCCAATCTTTAGTCAAGACTATTTAAAACTGTTTCATTCTGGTCTCAGACATCAGCACTACCTGTGATACTACTAACTGCATTTCATCCATATGATTTCATCAAAAAGAAAGAAGCTGAAATTGCTGTGTTGTAGTCTCAACACTTTCCAACAGTGTGAAAGCATCACGAATGTGCATTGACCACAGCACAACCCCCTGGAAGCCCTGTACAGAAAAGGGGAACTAGAGCATAAGCTGCTTTGTTGTCAGATAGCAAACTGACAATCACTAGATACTTCACTTCTCTCCACTTTCTCCCACAGTCCAAGATTTCTTAAGACCCAGTCTTAAGAGGATGATGCAAAAAAAAAGGTGAAGCAATTCAAACAACTTCAAGGTCCCAACTCCTATTCTGGTAGCAGTCACTGCTAGTCAATGATCTGGTAGCAATGAGAAGTGAATTCAGACCTTGGAAGCAGGTTAAGACATCACAGATTTTAGATAAAGGGTTTGTGCCATTCTTAAATTTCTATGTTCAGAATCACTTACAGGTCACTAAAAATTAAAATGCCCTGGCAACCCTGTTCAGCACAGCACAGAGATTGGTTTCCAAAGAAGCACCCTATATGGGATGCATTACCACCCAAACTAGGAGAATAACAAGAGAAACTCACCATCTTTTATCTGTAACAAATTTTGCTCCACACCTCCTTCAAAAGAATCCACGTTGACAGTTTTGCGATTCTTTGGCCTCCGGAGTAAGCCTCTTTTTTCAATAGTGTTTGGTGGAACCGGGGTAGAAAAAGAAGCTTGTAGGGATCTGAAAAGGGAAAAAGATGATAACGACCCTCTAGAACAGCAGTTTCCAACCTCTTTAATAAGTGTACTCCTGGCAGCCCCCTTTTTAGTATGTGTACGGGGCAGGGGGGGGCAGCAGCCAGATGCGGAGCAGGGGTGTGGTGAACGGCAGCAGCGCAGTGTCTGTGTGACCCTGCTCCCACATGGTGGGGGCTGCGCTCTGTCCCTGCCCGCCCCTGCATACATCCTGGGACCTTTCAAAGTACCCCCATGGGTATGCATACCCCCAGTTAACAACCCCTGCTCTAAAATAGGGGTGTCAAAAATATGGCAGAGCCACATCATCCGGCCAGCCCCTGATGCTCGCCTCATGTGGGGCCAGTCCAGCGTCTCCTCCTCACCAAGCTGGATTCACAGTCCGCAGCACCTGCTATGGGGTGGGTGCCACATGCAGCACAGGCCCCAGAACTACAGAAGCAAACACTTGATCTGGCACACAGGGGGGCGGGGGGAGCTATGGAATGAGTGCTGCATGCCACTGGATTCAGCATGCTGGGAGGTCTGCAGGCCTGATCTGGCCTGCAGGGCCAGATAAATTTAACACCGCTGCTCTAGAACTACTATCTCCCCTTCTCTCCCTAAATTACAGATCTGCTGCTGCTGGCCAAGAGTTGAGCCTTAAAATATTAATTAAGCCCCTTAACTAGATTAGATAATGTACACAACTCAGAGGAAAACAATGCAACAGTCAAAAAGCTAGGTCATGAAACAACTATCTACAACAGCACGGGCAATAATACCCAACTTGCTCATACTCCTAGTCTAACCATAACTGCTACGCAAGTGAAAGCTTTGAAAGCCCAAGACGACTGATAGATACTTTTTTCCTGTAGGACTCTCTCCTCAACCCATGCCAAGATACAGTCAAAGTTCAGGAAAGAAGACAATAAACAAGAAAAAACATATTCCTCTAGGTTGTACTATGGAAAATCTGCGGTTAGGATTTTGCTTGCTGAGCAAAGATCCCAATTTGTCTTTTCACATTTGCTTTAGGTACTGGCAACCCATTGAGAGAAAGAGGATGAAATAGGAAGACGTCTCTCGCCATGCTCCCAGTTTGTATAGCATGGCACATATTAAGTCAAAATGGTTCGCCAACAGAAACTGACATCAAGAGGGGCACCTCTAGAAAGGCACAAGATTCAGCCTAAAACAAAAAAGTGATCTGAACCCTCCATAGGACTGCTGCAGCATAGGAAAACCCCACGATATAAATATTTTTTCAGTGAACTGTACCTTTCACAGATGAAACGGAAGAGAAGGCTAGACCATTTCATAGTTGTTAGGGACTGGAAGGGACCTTACAGATCATTGGACAATACTCTCCAGTGCACCATCTACCCTTTCTTTTCAACTCAAGGGGTACCAAAGACACACTTAGGTAATTTAAATAGCTGCATATTAGTCAGCAAAATGAAGCAAGCTAAAAGCAAGGTGAAAATTCTGTAGAGCACGTAGGGCACATGTTTCAGAAGAATCAGAATGACTATGACCCCTTTTACAGACTCCTACCTAGAGGAGGCTGCATTGCTGATGTGCCTGAAAAAAAAAATTAAGCTCTTAAAATATTTAAACACTGAAAAAAGAAAGAGGGAACCTACAGGTCTGGTTACAAAATATAGGAAGGGAAAAAACAGGAAAAAAACCTCAAAGCAAATTCTCAAAAGGTATTAGAAATTGCCCACAATGTAAAAAGGTTTATAAACTCTTCAAAGCAAGGAATAAGACAGACAACAATGCAAAGCATGGGAATGATATACAAAGCTGTTCTCAGCTACCCCCGATTCTTTCCATTAAGAATCAGTAGAAATGGGTCATAAAAAATACTTTAAGGAAGAAGAATACACAGAATTGAATTATACAGGGGTATGAATGGAACTGGCATGGGAGAGAGAGGGCATAGGAATGTTGGAAGAAAAGTGTGGGTGGGGACAATCCCAGGTTCACATCACTGGCGTAGCACAAAGGAAGGCAGAACTGTGAAGAGCTTTTCAGGTCTTGAACTAGACACAGTGAAAGAGAAAGTACTGATTGAAAGATCTAAAGATGAACATGCAAAGACAGTTCTTCATTGCATTATTAATGGATTCTGAGAACAGCAACATAAGAAACGAGTGAGGAAGAGAGGGAGTATGCCATGTAAACTGCAGAAGGTTATAGATGAATGTTAGCAGATAGGAGAAAGGCAGTCATATTTTAGAAATGTAAATAAAGCAACCACAGCAAAATGCAGATCCAGCCTAGGTGTATGGGGCATAATGAGAAGAAGGAATAAAACCAGAACTTAATCTTTTATATCCACAATTTCAAGGTAACAGAAGCAGATGTGGTCACCCTCACACTACAACCCCCATATCAAACTGCAAGGCTGCCTTATTCTGTAATTCAATTTCTATCACGTCTGACTGACAGAAAGAAAAGTGGCCAGGGAGGCACTGGATATAGAGGAAGAAACTTTGTACATGCCCATCCATTCTGCTACGCAGAGCTAGGGAAGAATCAGAGCAGTAGTAGTCAAAACAGGCAAAAACTGAGGTTTAACTCACCTTGTCGAAGATTTGTCAACTGACATTGACTCGGCTAGAAAAAAGTGGAAGACGGGTCATTGTAATCATGTATGACATAGCTTATACAGATATTACACCCTAGAAAACAGATCCGCTTTCAACCTTCCAGAGCCATTTATTCTAAAAACAGTGAGTATACCACCTTGTATCTAGGCACCAGTATGGTGCTGGGAGGGGAAGGAAAAATACTTAACAGATATAACAGTGAAGAACATTGGAATTTTATTTTCTTAGAAAAATAAAGTGACAAGACAACTTCAGGATTTCTACTCTGAATTCCAGAGTTGCTGATTAACACATTACAGCTCTGGAGGGTAGGGGTTCACCGATAAAGATTTTTTTGGCCAATTATTAACCAGCCATATCACCCAATACTGATCTGATAGCCGACATGCAGCCCAGCAGCTTGGAGAGCAGCATCTGGCAGGTAAGTCTGGGGAGGATGGCGGGGGGGGGCATGGGGGAAGAAAGAGGCTTGGGAGCAGATCAAGGTGCCCATGGTGAGGTGGGGAGTGGGGCTGGAGCAGAGCCCAGGACAAAACTGTGGGCAGCCCATCCAGGGGCAGCTCCTCCCACTGCACACACCCCTGGGGGAGGCATGGGGGGGTATGTGCCCCCCAGATTTGTGTGCAGGGTGAGGTTGGACTGCCCACTGTGCACTCAGAACTAGAGGCTGTGCTGGCCTCTTCCCTGCAGGGGTGCTGGGATGGGCTGCACCCAAGGCAGGACAGGCAGCAGTGCTGGGAGGGGGTCTGTGGGGAGTTCTGGAGTGGCTGTATCTCACCATGTAGCCCCCGCTCCCAGCACTGATGCTGCCTGCCCCGTCCACAGCCCTGGCCCAGCCTCCCTGCTGGGAAGAGGCCGATGCAGCCACTGGCCCCAAGCCCAGTGGGCAGCCCACCCTCACCACATACACAAATCAGGGGGCACATGCCCCCCATGCCTTCCTCGGGGCTGCATGCAGCAGTGGGGAACTGCCCCCTTTCCTCACCACTCCGCACTCCCTGGATGAGCCACCCATGGATCCATCCCGCATCCTGCTCCACTGTGGCTGGGCAGTAGCTGCCCCTAACCCTGCCCCAGTCCCACTCCCTGCCTCACCATGGGGAACTCAATTGCACCCCACCACCCCACAGACTTACCAGCCAGACGCTGTTCTCCAAGCTGCCAGGATGCATTCTTGGCTGTGTGCATGCTGCGGCTGCACACGTGCACATTGCATTTATTGATGATATTATCAGCTATGCTGGCCGAAAAATGCTGATAAATGTCACTTTTCCTTTTATCTGTGCACCTCTACTGAAAGGGCAATAAACCTTATTTTATATGCACCTTGGTGCTAGCAATTAGGCCTGTGTGAATAGTGAAATATTCGATTGAATTTGGCCGATTTGAATTCTGATTTCGGCTGAATCAGAATCAGAGTTTCAGCGCTGATTCAACACCGATCTGGAGATTCAGATCTGCTGGGGAGAGGCAGACAGTTGGATGGCTGCAGGTTCTCCTGTGGCTCCTCCAGCTGTGCCTGCCCCTCTCCCCAAGTAGGGGGAGCCATGGGAGAAGCCCCCATGGCTGCCCTGCCGGCCCCATCCCCCGCCAGCCCCAGCCTCCCGGCACTTAAAAAAACAAACAAACAAAAACAACAACCAACAACAACAACAAAAAAAACCTCCACACCCCCCAGCTGCAGCAGCAACAGCGACTGGGGTCTCTGTCTGAGAACTCATGACAGAGCCCCCCCTGCACAGTGCGGGGCAGTGGGAGGCAGCAGAGATTGCCCCCCCCTGCTTGGCACCTGCCTCATATTGTGGGTGCAGCATGGCTCGGCAGGATGCCATGCGCTGTCTGGGAGCTAGGGTGGCTCCAGCAGTCACCCAGAGCCCAGCAGCGCTCAGCCCCAGCTCCCAGGCAGTGCAGGGAGCTGTGCTACATCTGCACCATGGGGCAGCTGCCGCGTGGGTGCCAGGCAATGGGGGGCAATCCCCGCTGCCCCCCCACTGCATGGGGGTGGGCTCTGCCACAAGCACCGAGAAGTCCTGATCCCCGCTGCTGCAACTGGTAAATGTGGGGCTTTTTTTTTTTCTTTTTTAAATTGCCAGGATGCTGGGCCCAGGCAGGGCAGCCACTGGGGAGAGGGGGCTTCATGGTGGGGCTCTGCCACATGGCCCCAGAGCCCGCACAGCCCTTGCTGCAGCTGGTGAGCATGGGGCTTTTTTTTTTTTATTCCCAGACTGCTACAGCCAGTGAGTTACGGGGCTTTTAAGTGCCAGTAGGCTGGGGATGGGGCCAGGCAGAGCAGCCATGGGGGCTTCTCCCATTGGTCCCCCAACCTAAGGAGAGGCAGGCACAGCCAGAGGAGCCACGGGGGAACCTGCAACCGCCTGGCTGTGCCTCTCTCTCCCCGGCTGATCTGAATCTCCCAATCAATTCAGAGGCTTCGGATTCAATTCGGACCTTTTAATGGATCTCTCGATTTGATTTTGATTCAGAGATTCAGCTGCCAAATTGGGCCGAATCTCCTTCGGATCAAATCGGTGACCGAAGCGTAGCACAGCCTTACTGGCAATGCCACTTCATTCACATTAACCCCAAAGTAGTCACAACCTGCTGAAACTTCAGCCTGATCATAACATTCCTTCATAACCATTTTCCTTCTAAATAAAGAAAAGTCTGGAGCCTTTGGAGAAATACTGGAAAAATAAAACACCGTAAGCCTTGCTGAAGCAGTTACCAAAACATATGCCCTGCCATACAATCCCAGAAAAAGGGAAAGCAAGTTTGGAGTTTTGTCTTTTAGTCATGACTTTTCATACTATAACAGAGCATGAGCATTTTAACTCTCGCATTTTAGAAATACATCAGATGGATGCAGGCAAGAACCTAGGCAAATTTGCCTCCCCTTCCTACCTCAGTTAAGCCATAGCAAGGCAGCAGGGGCAGTACCATAGTCACCGGGGAGGGTGGGGGAGGAAATGGCATGCCAGCTGGGCCCTCCAGGGGTATTTAGTCCCCCACCAGCACCTCTGGTTTCACTGCAGGCACTTCTAGGCTCGGTGATTGGCCACCAGGGGACCCCCTGCCCCACTCCTTTAGACGGGGGTGGGGGGGCGCTGCAAACACAAGCATTAGCCCCCGGAGACCCACACTACGCCACTGAGCAGGGGGAAAGCACAGGCACAGAGGGGCAGGGGGCAAGGAGCAGGGATCTGGCCCCTCACCCCCTGCCACTGCTTTGCCCACCACAGCAATGAGGGGGATAAACTGAAGATGACCTTCCACTAATTAGATACTATACGTGGAAAATAATAATAAATGTATAGTTTTCCATGTACAGAAAATAATTATTGGTGGGGGTCATATTAAATTTGAAGTTGTCTTAGATCTGGGTAAGTACAGTACTTGTAATTTTAGTGGCTTTAGAAGCCTAACCACCTATATTCTTAATATAAAAAAAGATGGCCTTTGACCGTACTCCAGTGTCCTTTTTGTACTTCCAACATGCACTAGGGCCTGTTACTGCTATACAAGCTAGTTTAATTGCTGATAACCGATGCTTGTCACCCTACATCTGCTTAGTAGTAGCCTTAGTCCCATCTACAATAAAAAAGTTGCAAACATTTCCTCACTGGTGCTGAAAAGCATAATAGGAAAGAGACACTCAGCAGTGAACTACTGCAGCTACCAAGTTCAAAAGGAATCTTTTGAAGCCCTTTGAAAATGATGATGTGAAGACTCAAGCAAGGAGCCCCCAACTGAGGCCTTACCCAGGTTTTGAGAAGATCGCTTATCCACTGCTCTCTCAAATTCAGAAATGCTCAATTTCCTTTTATTCCTACTCGTGTGAAATGTAATTATAGCTGTATCCTCAGAAACAAGGTCTGGCAGCTGTATCTTCATGCTACTAAAACAAAGCAGTGAAACTTTTAGTGCAGGGATGTTAAAGATCCAGGCTATGAAGCCATATCCCCCCCCACCCCGTGCTGGCCCTGGGTCTTGAAATTTCCCATAAACAATACACAGGGTCCATGGGCAGGCCCCAAAAAGTGCGCCACACACATCAGCCACTCTAGAACCTATGCTATATGCAGCACCTGTGCAGGTCCAGTTCAGGACACCCTCCCCCCAACAATGCTGGATCCAGTGACCAACCTGGCTGGTCCGGGACTGCACCACCCACTCTGGGACACAAGCTATGTGTGGTACAGGTTCTGGAGCAAGTAGTAAAGCATTGGACTGGCTAAAATGGGATCTGGCATGCAGAGTTGGGGAGGGGATAGGTCCGTGGGTCCTCCACATGCCAGATACAGCTCTCACCCCAGCTGGTCACAGATTTGTGCTATATACAACGCCTGCCGCAGACCACCTGGGGCAAGCACTGCATGCAAGTCCAGTCCTGGACTGGCCAGAGTTGGCACTGCAGGCCTGCACCCAGTCTACTGCAATGGTGCTCAACCTTTTTGCTTCATTCAGCAGAATGGCACTACCTCCACTCACCGTGCAGGACTGAGTACTAGGGGCTTGGTGCTGCCCCAACCCAGCCCTGCGCACTGGAATTGGGCATCCCATCTAGCACACAGGGCCTGGGGCTCCTCATGGGTCCCGAGATTTGGCACCACACCCATGGGGAGGCCCTGCAGGCTAGATGAAAAGCTGGATCTGGTCTGTGGTCTGAAGAGTGAGCACCGTTGGTGCTCACATCCTAAGAAATCATGCCTTCATATAGCTAAAACTATTTACATTACAGACCTTTAAACAGATATTTTTGAAGCATTTGCACAACACATCGGAACTCTGAACTTTCTGCCAGGGAGGCAAAACAGCCTCCTCTACAACTTCATGACTAATAGAAATGTACTTACGTATTAGAAAGCCTTTCTGAGTGGGTTTCTGATCCAGACTCTCTAGGTTCCCAGGGCTCAGTTATTTTAGGAACCACAGGTGAAACCTCTGGCTCTGTAAACAAAACAAAGTACTTCATTACCACAAATGAACCTAGGAAAAGTGGTAAGATGCAAGTGAAGCAAGAGAAACATGCTTCAGTTCTTTTTCAAAGTAGTGGTCACAGATTTTTTTAAAATATATATTTATTCACCAATTAAGAGTGCAGCAATGGAGTCGAGACAGGGAGAACCATTTAAGATCTGCTCCTCAATGAAAATGAAACTTGTGTTCTCAAAAATAAAGTTTTTGCAGAAAGGCATCTTGCTGCTTAGGTCTTATTTAGGGTTACTAAAATTAAAAAAACAAACAAAAAAAATAAATGAGGAAACAGCTGGTAGCTCATAAATGCCCACCCCAAGGCGGTCATAAGTTGGAAATTTTCATGCAATTCCTATGAAGTAGGTGGGATAAGGCATTAATGATTTACTTGTTCAGTAATTCTGATAACAGGAGACAGAGGCAAGATTTTTTTGCTGTTCTGCAAAGATCAAGCATTTACCTTTGAAAGTGAAAATTTCTTGTATAAGCCTTTCACAGCTGTAATAACCTTATAGCTAACATTTTGTATAAAAGCATGGTCTTCGTAAAAGAAGGTCTGAATTTCTCTCCCTCACCCCCAACAGAGTAAAAATTATGAACATCTCTCTCTTCTCAACTCTTTTAAAATTGCATCTTAGATGCAAGTACATAAGGGGTGTGTATCAGGAGCTGGGAGAATGTCTGTTCCACCAGGGCACCCCAAGGGAAGACACAGGTCTAAGTGACAAACTCCGGAAAGCCCGTTTTAGGCGGACATAAGAAAAAACTTCTTTACTGTCCATGTCCCCAGAGCCTAGAATAGACTCCTCCCAGAAGTGGTGTAAGCACTTACTCTGGACACTTCCAAGAAACACTTGGATGCCTATCTTGCTGGGATCATTTGCCCCAGCTGACTTCCTGCCCCTTGGGCAGGGGGCTGGACCCAATGATCTCGAGAGGTCCCTTCCAGCCCTAATGTCTATGAAATGTCTGCTTTTCCAGAGAAGGGGGTTATACTTACGAGTCTGGAAGATTTTTCTGAGTAGCAGCCTGGGTGTGGCAGTTTCAAGGTCAGGGGCCATAGTTGGTTTCTGTTTCCTCGAATCATGCAGATGCTTAGTAGAGAAAGCAAAAAGAGAACTACTTTAAGCATCCACATCCATCAATAAATCAGAACCTTAAGAGTAACATGCTAAGGACATATTTTCTAGTGATAAGCTTGTGAAACTCCCAGAACCAGAGTTCTTATCTTTTGGAAATCACAAAAATACTGTACCACAGAATGATTGCCCTGTTTGAGGTAGGAGCAAGAGGCTTTGCCCCAGTGGTCCCCCCCGCTCTTAGAAACTACAAGCAGAGTAGAAGAGGCTGCTCTACCCAATCCCCCAGAGTCCAGTCTGGGGCAAGTACAGGGAGTCTTTCCCTGCTGCTCCACTCCCTGCTGGGATCAGGAATGACTAGGCACATCTCCCCAGCCTTCCTCAGATTAGGAATCACCCTGGTCTCAGAAGGCATGGAGGGCAGGGGAGAAGAGGTGGCTGTAAAAGGATTTCAACTCAAGCATCACAGTGGCCAGGAACTGCACCATTGCAGCAACAGCCCAAGCCCCAGCTTTTGCTGGGAGACTAGCAGCTCCACCAGCATCACAAGCAGAAGCCCCTTTACTGCAACCTGATCCAAGGTTCTAGGCCTCTGGTTGTGGTGCCAGACTGGCAACCAGTGCCCAAGCAACAGATAGGCATGGGATTCCATGGCAGTAGCCCATGCCCTGGTGAGTGGAAAATCTGTTACCTGGCCATGGCAAGGCTTTCTATGGCAGTAGACAGTGCCCTGGCTTTCATTGGGAGGCAGACAGCTTCAGTAGCACTGGGGCCAGTGCCTGCTGAGCCAAGTTTTTTGTCCTGGCTTCGGTCACAATAGCAGGGCTTCTGCCAGCCGTGCTGCTCTCCCCAGGGTGCTGCTGCAGCTGCCATGCCAATTCCCAGCACTGCGGCCAGAGTCAAGGCAAAAGTTTGGGGCCAGATGACCCAGGTGAGTGGGCCATGTTTGACACCCTTGACATACATCGTAAGTTTTTCAGGGTGAAGACAATCTCTGAGACTGCAGTGCCCACACAACAGAACTCAGTCTCAGTACATTACTGCAGAAGAGAGAGACAGCAGCATGAGTGAGCATGAGCCAAGTATCACAGAGAAGATCTGCTATGGAAAGTCAACTAAAGAACCATCAATCTCAGAGAAGAAAGCCTTGGAAGAGCTTCAACATCTATTTCAGAAACAGTCAAAAGCCCGTGGTGGAGCAGTGTAACCACGCAGACATTCCCTCACCAGCCTCTGAACAGCTGTACTTAAACAACTAAACTTGAAAAAGCAACTTAGACCCCACTGCAAAGAAGTCGCCCACAGACTGGACTGAGTTAAGCTTTGCCTCCGCAGGGACTATGGTTTCTCATCTCATTGCCTGGACTGGCCGTTTCCTCCCTCGTGCCCCCAAGGTACTAACTGCCTCCACCCCAGTTCACTTCATCAACCCACTCGTTCCCTCGCCGCGCGCGGCCCGCCCCACCCCGCTGTCCCGAGTGCGCTTGGCTTTCACCCGCGGTCGGAACCGGGCTGGGTCGGGCCCTGGGGGAGGTCCGGGAGGAGCCGAAACGCCTGGGGAAGCG